TTTTTTTTTTTTTTTTTTTTTTTTTTTTTTGCAGGTTAATGCACTGCTTTCCTCTTTAGATATTGATAATGACATCAGGTCCAGAGGCCCCATGCCTGGGAGATTTCCAGAGCTGGAGGAGTATTGGAACGAGTCCCAAGTTATGAAACCTGGGCCTTATGCCACAGATGGCTGGGTCGCTGAATTTTCACAGCGCCAAATAGAACACAATGATCCTAATGCATGGGTTCAGTCATTTGAACGACAACATGGTGCTAATGGTTGGGCTACCGAATTTGACCGTGTAAGAAGTGTCTCTCAGCTTGTATTTACATTTCACGGAGCTAAAATTATTTGTTGCAGCTGACAGGCTGATAGGTTGTATTCATAATTTAGTTAATTTATAAGGTCAATTTTCTAGAGATTAATGTTCTCTGTAGATTAAAGAATAAAAAATTACTAATTTTCCTTGCAGTTCAATTGTGTTCATAATTTAGTTAATTTATAAGGTCAATTTTCTAGAGATTAATGTTCTCTGTAGATTAAAGAATAATAAATTACTAATTTTCCTTGCAGTTCAATTTACAAATGAATTTTCTTTACCACATAAGCTATAGGTTCTTCAGCTGACATCCAGTATTTCAGTTCTGTCTGTCAATATATCTGTTCTCAACCCTTGTTAGAGGAAGAATGGATTAGTTGTAACACCTTCAGAAAATAGGAGTTTTAATGTGTGAATTTTCTGATCCAGACAAAAAGATTCTTTCCATCACATTGATAGCATATATCCTTAAAACAAAAAGTTACATGCTAAACTTTCCAATTGCATGCAAGTTTCCTATTTACTAACGTGATTCTCTGTTCCAAATATTAACTCATAAATTAATCTGCCCTTGATTCCATTTCAAATGTCTTTTTATTGGTTAGTTGCAGTTATATAGAACAAGAAGGGGAAGTGGTGTGCTTTTTGTAGTTTCACAATCATTACTCTTGATATATCCAGATAAAGTAACATGTGGGGTTCATATGTATTCATGGCAAGAGGCAAAAATAGGACCATCCATCTAGTGTATATGTGAAAGAATAATATGAGAAGGTTTTCATATTAGGAAATTGGACATAATCTTGGAACATTACTTATATTTGTTAATATGTTAAACTGTTCTAAAACGCCCAGTCTGGTAGTACAATTTAAAGGATTACTCTTGACCTGATTTTGGTTTTTGGTGGGTAGTTATTGATTTTCTGTCATGGAATTGAATTGGTTTGATAACCAACTTTCTGTTTACCAGAGATGATTAACTTGTTGAATAATAATTATTAAATACCACCTGTATTTTGAATTTATAACTAATTAGCGCTTTATATGGTGGATTACGAGGATCACAATCCTAGGGATGCCGTAAAAAATTGTTATGTTCTTTTCAATCAATCAAGATGGAAAACTAAAAATACTATTGTTTTGCTTGGTTTACTAAAGTTTACCAGTTCATAAGAAGAAATAATTGAGCATCTAATAGCTTTTTCAGCATATTCTCTTGCTTCTGGTCATTACAATTTGAATGAAAATCCTCCTCGTTGAATGAAGTAAAGTGGAGACAATGGAAAACTGAAAAAGAACATGTGCACATGCACGCACTGGTACAGATATCCTTATTTCGTTGCTGTTAGCGCCTTCTTTTTGAAATGAACTGCCGTATCACATTGTCTTATCACATGACATATCATCTACTGTTGCTGAATTATGTCCAATTAAATACTTGCACACTGGAAACTGCCACCTTTATATGGTGGAATACGAGTATCTCAATCCTATTGATCCCATAAAGAATTGTGTTCTTTTTCAATCAATCAAGATGGAAAACTAAAAATATTATTGTTTTGCTTGGTTCAGTAAAGTTTACCAGTTTGTAAGTAGAAATGATTGAGCATCTAATAGCTTTTTCAGCATATTCTTTTGCTTCTGGTCATTACAATTTGAACGAAAATCCTCCTCGTTGAACGAACAAAAGGGGAGACGATGGAAAAATTAAAGAACATGTGCACATGCACACACTGGTCATTTAGTTGCTGTAAGCGCCTTCCTTTTGGAATGAACTGCTTGTCACGCTGTCTTATTATTTGACATATCATCTACTGTTGCTGAATTATGTCCAATCAAATATTTGCACACTGGAAACTGCCACTCCTTTTCCTTACTCTGTACTTTGACATTACAATTTTCCTCCAACTATCACAGGAGCAATCCCAACTTGCATTGATAGATCAAATGAGGCGTGCAAATATTTCTAGCTTAGCTGCCATGGAGCACACACGTAAGCTAGCACACACTCTCACTCAAAACAATGACCCAAAATTCCAGGTAATGGCCCATCTTAAGATTTTGGTTTTTGTCTCATCATTCTTGATGTATGATGACAAGATGATCTTGAGTGGAGAATTCATCAGTATGCAATAAGTATGCTAGCTTTATGGAATTTATATACTACTTTTGCATTGGCACTTTACTAACTTTTCTGTCGCAATTATCTGTCACATAGAATTCAAAGTTCCACCAGTTTGTATCAAAAATGAGTCGTGGCGAAATTACTATTGAGGATAATCAAATAAAGCAAGGCACATTCTCGGCACCTGGAGATTGGGCAGCAGAATATCAGCAACAGTATAATGGAGGTCAAACATGGGCTGACCAGTTTGTGAATGAGCAGGCAAGTACAGTCTTGATTAATGGCACGAGACCTAGTGCTTATCTGTTGTATTATATAGCGCTTATTTGGTATGAATTTTAACCTCATTATAATTTAAAAGTCAAAGTCAAACTTTAATTTTAACATGGAGGACCCACAACTACAACCCACTTATCCACCACTTATTTCTATCAACTTAGAATTTCGGGCAACTTAAAATTTCTCCCAAGCAAGCGTATACTCTCCTATGTTCTGGATTTGCAGGATTCTCTATCAAATGAAAGTCTTTTCTAGCTAGCTTACTGTCATTGTAATCAAACTTATTTTGAGCTGTGGAAGTCATATCTCTTTAGTGAGTTGGTAAAATGATTTTCTGTTGGTTTTATTGCTTTAGACCTGATGTTTGTTCTAGAGTTTATGCCTGGTGATTGAAGAAGTTATGCTCGATGCAAATTTACATGTCACCTATTCACCAAACACTATTTTGTTTTCAGCATTCCCATGGACCTCATGGATGGGCAAATGAGTTTGCCGCTGAACGCGAGCTACATGGACCAGTAGATGTTGATTGGGTCAACATCCATCTAGTGTATATGTGAAAGAATAATATGAGAAGGTTTTCATATTAGGAAATTGGACATAATCTTGGAACATTACTTATATTTGTTAATATGTTAAACTGTTCTAAAACGCCCAGTCTGGTAGTACAATTTAAAGGATTACTCTTGACCTGATTTTGGTTTTTGGTGGGTAGTTATTGATTTTCTGTCATGGAATTGAATTGGTTTGATAACCAACTTTCTGTTTACCAGAGATGATTAACTTGTTGAATAATAATTATTAAATACCACCTGTATTTTGAATTTATAACTAATTAGCGCTTTATATGGTGGATTACGAGGATCACAATCCTAGGGATGCCGTAAAAAATTGTTATGTTCTTTTCAATCAATCAAGATGGAAAACTAAAAATACTATTGTTTTGCTTGGTTTACTAAAGTTTACCAGTTCATAAGAAGAAATAATTGAGCATCTAATAGCTTTTTCAGCATATTCTTTTGCTTCTGGTCATTACAATTTGAACGAAAATCCTCCTCGTTGAACGAACAAAAGGGGAGACGATGGAAAAATTAAAGAACATGTGCACATGCACACACTGGTCATTTAGTTGCTGTAAGCGCCTTCCTTTGAAATGAACTGCCGTATCACATTGTCTTATCACATGACATATCATCTACTGTTGCTGAATTATGTCCAATTAAATACTTGCACACTGGAAACTGCCACCTTTATATGGTGGAATACGAGTATCTCAATCCTATTGATCCCATAAAGAATTGTGTTCTTTTTCAATCAATCAAGATGGAAAACTAAAAATATTATTGTTTTGCTTGGTTCAGTAAAGTTTACCAGTTTGTAAGTAGAAATGATTGAGCATCTAATAGCTTTTTCAGCATATTCTTTTGCTTCTGGTCATTACAATTTGAACGAAAATCCTCCTCGTTGAACGAACAAAAGGGGAGACGATGGAAAAATTAAAGAACATGTGCACATGCACACACTGGTCATTTAGTTGCTGTAAGCGCCTTCCTTTTGGAATGAACTGCTTGTCACGCTGTCTTATTATTTGACATATCATCTACTGTTGCTGAATTATGTCCAATCAAATATTTGCACACTGGAAACTGCCACTCCTTTTCCTTACTCTGTACTTTGACATTACAATTTTCCTCCAACTATCACAGGAGCAATCCCAACTTGCATTGATAGATCAAATGAGGCGTGCAAATATTTCTAGCTTAGCTGCCATGGAGCACACACGTAAGCTAGCACACACGCTCACTCAAAACAATGACCCAAAATTCCAGGTAATGGCCCATCTTAAGATTTTGGTTTTTTTCTCATCATTCTTGATGTATGATGACAAGATGATCTTGAGTGGAGAATTCATCAGTATGCAATAAGTATGCTAGCTTTATGGAATTTATATACTACTTTTGCATTGGCACTTTACTAACTTTTCTGTCGCAATTATCTGTCACATAGAATTCAAAGTTCCACCAGTTTGTATCAAAAATGAGTCGTGGCGAAATTACTATTGAGGATAATCAAATAAAGCAAGGCACATTCTCGGCACCTGGAGATTGGGCAGCAGAATATCAGCAACAGTATAATGGAGGTCAAACATGGGCTGACCAGTTTGTGAATGAGCAGGCAAGTACAGTCTTGATTAATGGCACGAGACCTAGTGCTTATCTGTTGTATTATATAGCGCTTATTTGGTATGAATTTTAACCTCATTATAATTTAAAAGTCAAAGTCAAACTTTAATTTTAACATGGAGGACCCACAACTACAACCCACTTATCCACCACTTATTTCTATCAACTTAGAATTTCGGGCAACTTA